TTAATCAAGCCAAATAAATAAAATAATATCCAAAGACTTTATTTTATCACCCAATTAGTTTAACGAGAATTTAATTATTATATAACTAAAAAAGTAAGTAAGTGCTCGATATGTGTGTGTGTGTTCTATAGATTAATTCCATGGTAAAAAAATATAAAACTTGTCAATTAGATTTGAAAACAAACAAACAAAAAACACTTATTGGATTCATTCATATCTATGGCCTCAATCAGAAAAAAATATGACCTTTATTTTATTGGATTGTTTCTACACACACACACATATCTAACACCTACGCATCACTAGCAGTTGTAAAAGTCCGAAACATCATATCACACATATCCACACAGAGTTAACAAAGGTTTTCATGATTCATTAGAATTCATTATATTTTTTTGATTTTGATTTTTGATTATTAATTTTTCAGCTTTTTTTCACCCAATTATTTTTCTATTTTCGTTGTTGTCTACTTTTATCAAATAATTATTAATTAGTTATTTACTTTTTTTTCCGGATAAAAAATTTCATTTTCCGTTTTTCATTAGGTATTTTTTTCCGTTGAGAAAAGATAACGTTGTTTCAAAATGTATTTTTTTCTGTTTTTTTTTGTTTGTTTCAATTTAATTGAATTTTCAGGAAATTTATAATGATGGTTAGCAATAAATTAACAATATTTGAAGAATATTTTGATTGAACCAAAACAACCGTTGATTATTAAACTATAGGAAATTCCGGTTTTTTTTCATACCGAGAATCAAATCCAATTTATTTTATTTATTTATCGTTTTTTTCCTTTTCTTTTTTATTTTATCAGAATTAAAAACATTGATTATCGATTCTGAACAGACATTATTCTGGCGTTATCAACATGGACGACCATTAAATCATTTATCAACAATCGAAGCAATATATTATCTATTCAAACAAATTCATATGACTTTATTTGATATGTTTAATAACAACAACAACAACAACAAAAACGATAACAACGATCATCATTCAGATAATAATCATTCAAATAATATTATCGATTATTTTCGTTC